TTTTTTACAACAACATTTTTTATTCTAAACTCTATTTGTTAATCAAACATATACTTGAATTTTTTTTATATAAATTTAGAGAAGAAGAAGTGAATTAATCAACTTTTTTTTCAATATTTCAATTTCAAGAATTTATCGACGGTCCAAACATTCCCAGGGCAACCCAGACCGCAGAGAATCCAGAGATGTTATAATCCAAAATTCTTGTTCATGATTTATTTTAATGCCATGTCAACAGTTTAATATATTTGGTCACGTGCCACCGTTCAAACCAATACATTCACACGCACGCACACATGCAAACAACAACACACAAATTGAAACAAATTTTTTGTTCATTTAACAAGAATCTTGATTATCTCGCTAAAAGAACAATATTAAAGTAGAAATGAATGTGGGCGGACAGAGCTATTAAATAAATTAAGCACGGACCACAAAGAGAATTTCTGAGACAATATCCACCATCTCCTCCCGAACTGACCCCCTTGCTTGCCCTGCAATGTGCCGTCCCAGCAGAACCAAAAGAACGCCCTCTTGGCGATGTAGCATCCTGCCAGAGCGTGACTCCTCCAAGGATCAAGAATGGCCATTATTGTTCTTATTCCCATTGCTATTTAGTTTACTCATAGTCAAATGGTTGACATCTTCAATCCGGATTCAGATAACTTCAAGAGATAATTCACTGAAACTCGCGACTGCTGCGATCCGCATCGAACGAAGCGCCAACTGCAACTGAACGCACAGATTTGAATTGCGCCAAGCCAGAGCTCAGCCGCAGCCGCAGCCTCAGCCTCAGTCGCAGTCTCTGACTCAGACGTTTCCTGATGCTAGTCGCTTAACAGCGTAGGACTTAACAGAGCTCTGTTAACTAGCTGAAAGCGACAACATTAACACACACACACACATACAAATGTATATACACATTCGCAGCTTTATGAATGAAATTTTATGCTTCACGCTTCCCGCTCTTCCATTTGGTTCACATATCAACAGTTGTCAAGATATTTAATTTGATTCTAATTTAAAAATATCTAAATGTGTACAGAAGAGGCAGCAAGTATTATTTGAAGAGCTCGCCAAGAATTCGAAAATGAATTATTTAAAAGAAATTTATTCGGCCATAAAAATAATGCAGAAATGAGACATTTATCATAAAATAACAATTTGGGTAATTTATTCTAATTATATAGTAATTGCCAAATAATTAGGATTCTTCGCAAATTTGGAGTGCGCAATTGTTGCCTAAATTTAGTTGGATATGAGTATATATGTTTGGCTGAAATATTAAGAAATAGTGCAACATCTTACAATTTCGAAAATAAACTTTGTTATCCATATAATGAGAAAGAGTTTTACATTTATACGATTTGTCTTTCGACTCTCTGCAATGCACGCCAGGGTATCTTCCATCGAGCACTCTCGAACAGGGCGCTCTTATTATTATTAAATTCCTTTAACAATATATTTTGTTCACTAAAATTCATTGTCATCCCAAACTCCCACAAGAAAAAACACATTTTTGTTGACTTCATTTTAACTTTCAAAAGTTTATTCAGTAATTTTTTATTTTTTTAGTAGTTTCTCTTGGTTTCACTAAATATGATCTTAAATTATACAAAAAATGTATGCACAATTATTTAGCCAATCAAAGTGTATTCAGTTTCAGAATGATTGATCTAGAAATTAGACTTCAGTTTCTTAGGAAATCAATGAAATCAAAACAGAAAACAATTAATTCATTAATTTACAGTGTCCGCAGGTGGGCGATGAGCACCGAGAAGGAATAATTAATATAATTTGTAAATTAAGTACGAATGAAAATTAAACAATAAACTGATCAAATGAAAACAAAAACAAAAAACTACGCAACATTAACAAGTATATATTAAAAAAAAAAAAAACTAAAGAATTTATTCGTTTACTTTTAAATTTGGGGCATCATCTAACACGATTTTCAGTATTTACAAGATCTTTTTTCTTTATATATATCATTCTAATTATGTATGAATATTTTATTCAGTGTTAAGTTTTTTTTTTATAGACTTTTTTTTTTATTGACAGCTAGAAAAGTTGTACTTCATCTGCTTTTTTTTTTTTTGCACTTGGACTACATTTTATTGTATAATTTGTGAAATATGCTTTATCATATAATATTTAAGAAAACGAAATGAAAATCGGTTGCTTTTCCTTGGGTTCTGTTCGCTTAGAGCGTACTTAATTCGTATGCTTGGTTTAACATGGATACAGTGAACGCTTTGGGCACTACGACAAATATCACATAATGAGATCAATTGGATTTATTTTGGGTTTTGCGTTTGTTTTTGTTTTGTTTTTGTTATATATTTGTGAATTATATATATGTTTGTGTGTAAGAATGTACGATGTCATTTGAACTTAACATTGCCTACAGATTGACTGGTGGGTTTATCATTCAATTATAATATTCTTCTTCGAGCAAACTCTTCAGTTTCGTTCTTATTGTTTTCTTAAATAAAGCAAACGCACATTGCACAATAAAATGTGAATTATTCAAGTGCAGCCTGCGGCAAAGTGAACAACAAAAGTCTTGTTATTTACGCGTAAGGTATAAGTATATATAGGCTCTAGTAAGTAATGAATTGGTGTTCTTGTTTGAACTTAAGTATGCATTACAATCTTTTCGATAATCATCTTTTAGATAAGTACAAAAAATTAACAATTAAAATAATCTTGTACAACTTTTCAAGCGTCAATCAATTCAAGTTTGCCCGAAGCATTTGAAATATATAATATATATTCATATAGTTGTGTATTTTGCTGGCCTAATTTATACATACATATATAAGTAATTGTTTCATATTTCATTTCTTTTCTTTTCTTTTCGCGTTTGCATTTTTCACTTTCCATTTGATATCATAGTTAAAATATATTGTATATATATTTTGTTTTGTATAATTAGGTATATGCGTATATAAAACTTAAAAAGAATTTAACCAAAAAAAAATATATATAG